TCCCAGCATCCCATATGGTCCCCTGAGTACCACCAGGAGTAAACTTCTGAGTGCAGAGCCAGGAGTAACCCCTGAGCATCGCCAGGTGTGACCCAGAAAGAGAAGGAGAAGGAGAAGGAGGAGGAGGAGGAGAAAGAAGAAGGAGAAGGAGAAGGAGGAGGAGAAGAAGAAGAAGAAGAAGAAGAAGAAGAAGAAGAAGAAGAAGAAGAAGAAGAAGAAGAAGAAGAAGAAGAAGAAGAAGAGATGGACAGGGAGCAGAGGGGTGTGAGGTCAGGGGTCAGAGGGCTCAGGGACATCGGTGGTGCGGAGGTGTGGTGTAGCTGTGTACCCACACTGAAGAGGCAACACTGAAAGCAGGAGATCCAAACTTAAGACTGTGTCTGTCAGGGTGTCCGGTTGCAGGGCAAAAGTTTCCCAGGCAAAGGCAAGTTGACAGTGGTGATGAGATACGGGCGAGAATCCCATCTATCAAACATTCAACTATCAATAATCTTGGGCAGGCTTGGGGCTGATGCCTCGACACACCTGGAATGCGGAAGAGACCAGCATCAGTTTTCTAGGTTCCTGGGGGTTCTGGGTTCTTGGGGGAAATGTTCTGGGTGTGATTTGAGGGGGGTTTGGAGGGTGATGGAGGGACTTCCTCCGTCAAGGGAGCTCAGGAAACGAAACCATCAATAACTTTGTGGACTACAGTTCTTTAAAAAAAAATATTGTAAATCTCACAACCCCACCCCCCTTTTCTTTCCTTTGTTGCAGTGGTTGTCACAGTGATTTGGGATTGTCCATGGGTCTGACTTAGGTGCTCACCAATCTGATTACGGATCCTCTCACCTTCGGCCTTGGTGCTCATGGGGTCGCACACTTTAATGGTGGTGCCTACTGGTGGTATCCACACACGTGTGCAAGTTGGGTGCTTGTGCAAACTTTGCTTGTAGCACTGAGAATGCAGGAAGTGGCAGAGCACAGTGATACATGCTCAGAGATAGGCAGGAGGAGGGGGGCGTGCAGGCCTTAGTCGTGTGTCTACACACTCACCTGGCTGAGTACCGGAGATTGTACTTCCTCTTGGGATGGTCACGGTCCTCCTGTTATTCATCGATTTGCATGAGCGGGCCCAATAACGTCTCCATCGTGAGGCTTGTTGTTACTGTGTTTGGCATATCGAATATGTCATGGGGAGCTTGCCAGGCTCTGCCGTGCGGGCGAGATACTCTTGGTAGCTTGCCGGGCTCTCCGAGAGGGGCAGAGGAATCGAACCTGGCTCGGCCGGGCCGGCTACACGCAAGGCAAATACCCTACCGCTGTGCTATCGCTCCATCCTCTTGGGACACAGAGGCATATGTGGGCCGCAGCAGGAATCACACTCAGATTCCTGCTTTCAAGGCAGATGCTCTTAGCACTAGCTTAAGCCCCTCCCCAGGGCCCCATGCTTTGTTAATTTTCATGAATTTCAGAATGGATTGGGCTGTTTTTGTTTAAGGGCCATACTTGGTGGTGCTCAGGGCTTACTCCTGGCTCTGTCTGTGTTCAGGGATCACTCGTGCCGGTACTTGGAGGATCGAATGTGATGCTGGGAATCTAGCCTGGGTCAGCCACATGCAAGGCAAGAAGAGCCTTACGCCCTGTTCCTTCTCTCCAGCTTCTGGGTTAGATTTTTTTCTCTCTTTTAGTACGGATTGAGAAGCGGGAGTACAGATACCAAATTTTCTTTGCAGAAGTTAGTAGTACTTGGAGAAACATTTGTTTTTTCTTTCTCTCAGCAGAAGGACCTTTTTCTTTATGTTTTACTTCTTATTGAATCACTGTGAGATAGACCCTGACAAAGCGGTTCATGATTGGATTTCAGTCTTACAGTGTTCCAACACTCATCCCTCCACCAGTGGACATTTCCCAGCACCAGTGTCCCCAGGTTCCCTCCCATCACCCCCCACCCCTGACCCCTGCCTGCCTCTGTGGCAGGTGTTTTTCTTCTCTGTCTCTCTCTTTGTGTGTGTCTGTTCCTGTCTCTGTCTCTCTATCTCTGTCTCTCTATCTCTGTCTCTCTGTCTCTCTCTCTCTCTCTCTCTCTCTCTCTCTCTCTCTCTCTCTCCCTCCCCCCCTTGGGTGTTATGGTTTGCAATATTGACTCCGAAAGATTATCAAGAATATCCCTTTACCTACTTTTAACACTTAGAGATCTTGTCAGTGTGATCATTCCCAGCTATTACTGTCATACTGGTCTCTTCTCTGTCTTCCCTACCCTCAGCCCCATACACACACACACACACACACACACACACACACACACACACACACACACACACACTGGTGGTTAGTTCCAACCATTGACCAGTGAAAGGAGGCCCTTTAGATAAATAAGACATCGAACTTCTCCAAGTTTGGGAAATAAAGGCAGGGAAGTTCACTGAAAATGTGTTTCTTTATCTAGTAACTAACTTCATGTGAAGTTTTGCAGCTGGCTTATTAAATATACTTGTGAAGTAATTGCCGGGCTTTTCTAGCAGCTCGGAATTCCAAGAGGGAGTTATGCATTTTTTTTAAAGGCTGAAATTAATTGAGCACTGATTTTTACTACCCAGGAGAGATGGTGGGTCCCAAATGTCTTGCTTTCCAGAGTATAATTTGAAACAAAACAAACATAATCTCTACAATTAGATTGCATGCTAAATTGTGTGTTCACTTTAACTGTAAAAATTTTCCCAGAATAGCCACTGTCTTTTCCAACCGAATTAATGACTTAGCCTGTGTTTTACTTTGACGTTCAAGTCACCGTTGCTTGTCTCAGCCTTTCTGACAGTGAGATTAGTAGGTGATTTAAGGTGAGGTGCTCAAAAGAAAGAGACGTCGGCTTATCACTAGTCATAGAAGTATTGATGATGATATTGTTTGCTGTAATATTTCATGTGCTTAAGAGTCCATCTGATTTGACTTTGGTGACAGGGGCCAATTTGAGCTACACCCAGCTGTGTTTAGGGCTTACTTCTGGCTCTGTGCTTAGGAACCTTTCCTGGCAGGGCCCTAGGGACCACCTGGGGTGCCAGGTATTAAACCAGGGTTTTTTTGCATGCAGGGCAAGTCCATTGCCTGTACTACCCCTCTAGACTTTGACTGGCTTTTTTTTTTCCACTTCATTATTCTCTTTCTCTTGTCCTGGACCCCAGACAGTGGGCCAGTCAGGATCACCCAAGGATACACCCAAAGCCAAGGATGAAGCTCACTCAGGACCTCACACTTGTCCTGAACGCTTCCCCCCAGAGCCAACTCCCGCACCCCATGGGGGGGACATTTTTCCCTCTTTTTGTGCCTTAGTGATGCCAGGCATATGCGCTTCACCTCTGAAACACCCCCTCCCCATTGAAATCTTTACCTCAGAGTAAAGGTAAAGGTAAAGGCCCTCCCGTTGATCGTCGATTTGCTCGAGCGGGCCCAGTAACGTCTCCGTCGGAGACTTTGTTGTTACTGTGTCTGGCATATCGAATACTCTCGGTAGCTTGCCGGGCTCTCCGAGAGGGGCGGAGGAATCGAACTCGGGTCGGCCATGTTGGCCGCTTGTAAGGCGAACGCCCTACCGCTGTGCTATCGCTCCAGCCCTACCTCAGAGTAACAGCCAGAAAAACCTGAAAGGCTTTCGAGGTGCATGTTTTCAGGTGTCAGTTGGTCCCACCCACTGCAGCAAGTAGTGGATGCCAAATCTCAAAGTGTCGCAGTGAGGCGAGCCCTTGGTCCCAAGGGAGCTTGGGGGGGCTGGAGCGAGAGCACAGCGGGGAGGGCGTTGGCCTTGCACGCGGCCGACCTGGGTTCGATTCCCAGCATCCCATAGGGTCAGGAATCCCATAGGGTCCCCCGAGCACCGCTGGGAATGATTCCTGAGTGCATGAGTCAGGAGTGACCCCTGAGCATCGCTGGGGGTTGAGTCCCCTCCCCCTGGCTGTCCCCCACCACCCCTTCCCAACCCTCTCGTGCTGCCCGACTCGGGTTCGATCCCCAGCATCCCATAGGGTCTCCTGAGTACCGCGGGGAGTGGTTCCTGAGTGCATGAGCCAGGAGTGACCCCTGAGCATTGCTGGGGGTTGAACCCCCCCACCTTCCCTCCCACCCCCCCCCCACACACACACTCCTTCTGCAGGATCCAGCACGCTCCTTGCAGACCCCCGACCCTCCCGTGATGCCCAACCCAGGTTCCATCCCCAGCATCCCATAGGGTCTCCCGAGCACTGCCAGGAGTAATTCCTGAGTGCGTGAGCCAGGAGTGACCCCTGAGCATTGCTGGGGGTTGAATACCCTCCCCCCGACTTCCCCTCACCACTCCTACCCAACCCGGGTTCGATCCCCAGCACCCCATAGGGTCTCCCGAGCACTGCCAGGAGTAATTCCTGAATGCATGAGCCAGGAGTGACCCCTGAGCATCGCTGGGTGTTGAATACCCTCCCCCCGACTTCCCCTCACCACTCCTACCCAACCCGGGTTCGATCCCCAGCACCCCATAGGGTCCCCCGAGCACCACCGGGAGTGATTCCTGAGTGCATGAGCCAGGAGTGACCCCTGAGCATTGCTGGGGGTTGAATACCCTCCCCCCCGACTTCCCCTCACTACTCCTACCCAACCCGGGTTCAATCCCCAGCATCCCATAGGGTCTCCCGAGCACTGCCAGGAGTAATTCCTGAGTGCATGAGCCAGGAGTGACCCCTGAGCATTGCTGGGGGTTGAATACCCTCCCCCTGACTTCCCCTCACCACTCCTACCCAACCCGGGTTCGATCCCCAGCATCCCATAGGGTCTCCCGAGCACTGCCAGGAGTGATTCCTGAGTGCATGAGCCAGGAGTGACCCCTGAGCATCGCTGGGGGTTGAACCCCACCCCCACCTTCCCTCCCACCCCCCCACCCCCCCCCACACTCCTTCTGCAGGATCCAGCACGCTCCTTGCAGACCCCCGACCCCCTCCCGCGCCACCTTGGCCCTCCGCTCACGGCCTCGTGTCCCCCTCTGTGCGCAGGTCCCCGCTGCTAGCATGGCCACGGCCGTCCTGGAGCGCCTGAGCACGCTGTCGGTGAGCGGGCAGCAGCTGCGCCGCCTGCCCAAGATGCTGGGGGACGGGCTGCCCAAGATGCCCCGCACCGTGCCCGAGAGCGACGTCCCGCAGCTCTTCCGCGAGCCCTACATCCACGCCGGCTACCGGCCCACGGGCCACGAGTGGCGTTACTACTTCTTCAGCCTTTTCCAGAAGCACAACGAGGTGGTCAACGTCTGGACCCACCTGCTGGCCGCCCTGGCCGTGCTCCTGCGCTTCTGGGCCTTCGCCGAGGCCGAGGCCCTGCCCTGGGCCTCCCCAAGGGCCCTGCCCCTGCTGCTCTTCGTCCTGTCCTCCGTCACCTACCTCACCTGCAGCCTCCTGGCCCACCTGCTGCAGTCCAAGTCCGAGCTGTCCCACTACACCTTCTATTTCGTGGACTACGTGGGTGTGAGCGTGTACCAGTACGGCAGTGCCCTGGCCCACTACTTCTACAGCTCCGACCAGGCCTGGTACGAGCGCTTCTGGCTCTTCTTCCTCCCGGCCGCGGCCTTCTGCGGCTGGTTGTCCTGTGCCGGCTGCTGTTATGCCAAGTACCGCTACCGGAGGCCTTACCCGGTCATGAGGAAGATCTGCCAGGTGGTGCCGGCGGGCCTGGCCTTCGTCCTGGACATCAGCCCCGTGGCGCACCGGGTGGCCCTGTGCCACCTGGCCGGCTGCCAGGAGCAGGCAGCCTGGTACCACACCCTCCAGATCCTCTTCTTTCTGGTCAGCGCCTACTTCTTCTCCTGCCCGGTCCCCGAGAAGTACTTCCCCGGGGCCTGCGACATCGTGGGCCACGGGCACCAGATCTTCCACGCCTTCCTGTCCATCTGCACGCTCTCCCAGCTGGAGGCCATCCTCCTGGACTTCCAAGGCCGCCAGGAGATCTTCCTCCAGCGCCACGGGCCCCTGTCCGTCTACGCTGCCTGCCTCTCCTTCTTCTTCTTGGCCGCCTGCAGCGCGGCCACTGCCGCCCTCCTGCGGCACAAGGTCAAGGTCAGATTGACCAAGAAAGATTCCTGAAGAGGACGAGTGAGGGAGCCAAGGGGTGGCGGTGGTGGTGGTGATGGTGGTGGTGACCCATCCTGAGACACGGGGAAGGGAAATGATACCCGAGAAGGGCAGGTGTCTTTGCGTTGTGAAGAATCGGCTTTTAAAAACCAGTTACCCCTGCAGCATTAGGCAGCCGAAGGACTTAATAGAAGGGGTATTCCGTTCCCCTCTGGGCCACAGCCTTCAAAGGCACAGGAAGGAAAAGGACCTTGGCTCAGTTCATGACACACTGACTTAAGGAGACGATCTTCATACCTGAAAGTTCCAGAGAATTCTGGCTGTGGCCTGACGCGCAACTCCTAGAGCTGTAGGATCGTGAAATCGCACCAGAAAGCCAGCGGGTGGCTGGTCCACACGGTGTGGGTGTGAACATCTTAACGGCGCTGGCTTCTGGTCATTGGACAAATGGGCCCGATTTCTTTGGGATTTCAGATTGTCCAGGGTGGAGAAGTGAGAATCTTCAAGGTGATTCCATGAAACCCTTCGACATAATGAACTCTCCGGTTGCTCTGGGTCCTTCTCCCTTCTCTCTCGCCTACTCTAGCACTGACCTTTTGCCCAAGATGGCATCTGCCTGGCTGTCGAAAGTGTCTGTCTCCCCCTCTGTACCTTGCATGGTCATCTAGAGGTCTAGGAAGCAGTCCTCCTGGCAGGAAACGCTTGGATCCATGTGGATGGTCCAGAAGCTTATCCTCATCTAATGTTAGTGCAAGATCATACCGGGAAGTACCAGTGCCAAGAGCCACCAAGCACGGACGCTGTTTGGCGTTCAGGCCCCTTCTCGTCTACTCCTATCAGTGCAGGATTACTTGAGATATATTAGAGCTGCCTTACTGGCCAGGAGGTCTGGAGCATGACTCCAGTGTATCTTCTGCAGATTTCGGCCAGCGTGTTCAAAAACTTTGCTGGGGAGACTGAATTGATTCTGAGGGTTCCTCTAGAGAAGCGATTATTGCCAGGGGAACCCAGGGTCCATGCAGCCCTGTGAAGGACCCACAGCCTTTACCCGTCCCAGTTCACAATCCCCAAGCAGGCATCTGGGCCTTGACTTAGAATAGAGCCATTAAAATAATCAACTCCCCACACAGGTGAGCAGGGATGCACTCGGAGGGTTGGTCCCTGAGGGCTCCATTTGGGTGAGGAAGGAGACTGGGTTCCCTGTAGCCAGGATGCTGTTTGGAACATCCCTGCCTCAGTTTCTGCGGCAGACAGAGGTCGTGTTCTGGCCATGCACCCTCTCTGAGGACTAACTTCTCCACACATCCAGCGACAGGGGACTGCATGAGGCAAGGATTATGGAAACCTTTTGGTCAGGGGCTGATTTCCTGTCAGTATGATGAGTCTTATTTACAAAAAAAAAAGGGAGGGGAAGTGGTTGGTTGGCACTGCAATTTCATGAACCTCTTGGATTTCTAGGGAACTGGATGGTCTTCAAAATCTTTGATTTTTCCCCCCCTTTCCTCCTTTTTTCTGGGGGATGTGTGGGTTTTGTGCCTTGTAAACGGGAATACGCTATGGCCATGTGGAATCTTTAAGTTTGAGGATAAGAAAAAAAAATCCTTATTTTCTAATCAGTCCATGAAAGAAATCTGAGAAAACCAGGATTGCATATAATGGAAAGACTTAGCCTATGGGGTACCACCTGAGGAGATAGCTCAGCCATGTTCTGCAGGCCCGGGTTCGAGTCCCAGGGCTGTGTGGTTCCCCAAGCAACTGGAGGGAGTGACCCCTGAGCATCAAACCGGGAGTAGCTCCCCCAGCATGATGGAGCGTGGGAGAAAAAAACAAATTTTTTTTTTAAAAAGGCATAAACAAATTCAACCGGTATTTGGCAAAAACAGCAAACATACTTAACTGAACTTTCCTTTAATCTTCCTATTCAGCAAGTCTTTTCAGGGCCAGGATAGAGCTTAGTGAGCGAGCCATCTGCTTTGCATGAGTAAATAAAGCCCTGGGTTCCATCCCCAGCACCTCAAGGAAAAAAAAAAAACAGAATGAAGCAGAAGAAAGTCTTGTGCATTTCTTAAACAGATTTCTCCTTCTAAACCCTCAGGCATCTGGACTTAAAGGTCTTACACAAGCTTCTGGCGTCTGGGTCACATTCATGCCAAATAAAATTTACAAAACTGAACTGGGTTGAAGTAAAGGAGGGATTGGATGGACCGTTGTGCAGAATATATCACAAGGCGAGAGTGAGTTTCAAGCCGGGACTGGGAAGTGTTGGACATGTTCTTTTAAAAGCTGCAAGGGAGGTGTGAAGCCTAGCTCTTGAATCTCAGCATGGCAGTCCAGGGGGACAGAGATCTTCGGGATAAAGGCAGGGTTGTTTTTAAAAAGAGAAAACAGGAAGTCGAGCGAGGATCCGAGACTGGTGTGCATTTAGCCTGCCCTAGCCAGAGGATCACAAACTACATTCTTTCTAGATATTGCCGTGAAAATATGATTTTTGTGCGTTGCAAGTATTGGTCCCACAAGTGATTGGAATTCTTTCGAAAGGTTTTTCACCAGGTGGAAGAGATGGTACTCGGGCACTTGTCTTGCACACGGCACACCCAAGTTCCATCTCTGGTGTTGCCTGGAGTGATCCCTGAGACAGCAGGTGTGGCCTAAAACCCCCAAATAAAAGAAACAAATTAAAAATAAAAGGTTTTTCAGAGATATCTGAGACCCATCAAGATAGGAAACTCTCTCGTTGGAGAACCACTGAGACCCATCAAGATAGGAAACTCATTCGAGAGACACCAGTTTAACAGTAGAAATACAGATATGTAGGTATTCATCAGAAATGCAGATATTTTTTAGTCACTAAACCTTTTTTATGCATTAAGTCCTTTGAAAAGCATATCTATTACAATGAGCTTATCTATAAGGACAGGCCCAGTTGGTTTAAAAGGAATAACTAAGTATTTGATATAGGAGGGGTTATCTTAACCACATCACAGCCAATAATTAACACCTCCTGGTCTCTCTCTTTTCTCTCTCTACTAAACTGTTTACTTCAATGGAGCCTTTCAACCCTTTAAACTGCAGATGTCTTGGAAGGAACGAAACTATCAGTTAGTTACATGCTGTGAATAAAATTTTTGATGGATTTGTCTGAGACCATCCTCAGGGTAAGGAGGGTTCAGCCGGACTTCGAACTGGGGACGTGCTTGTCTCTTTTCTTGCCTTGTGTTAACTTAGGAGCTACTGTGAGGAACACTCAGATGTTATGGTATCACTCTGCTGCCAGTAGCCCACTCTGTACTCTCAGCCCTCTACTGAAAGCTTGAAACAATGGCTGAGGCCGTGGGGTGAAAGTCATTCATTCGTTCCTTAGGTACTGTCTTGCTGCTGTCGTTCCAGATGGGCCTTCCTAGAGGGCGCTCTCACATTTCATGCCGAGCTCACAGTCATTGTCCCCAAGGCATCAGCCCGCTACTGGTGTTGTTTCTAATGTTTTGCTTGATTTGATTGCCTGGTAAAGAAGAAATGGAACTGTTTTCTGTCTGTTTATAGAAATCTACTTACATGAATGACCATTAAACAGATTTTGTATATGAACTGTTGTGCTGGCCACAGCTTTCTTGTTTCTCAGAGGAGACCCTGACCGGGGTTCCTTTTGACGAGTCCCCTCTCAGAAGAAAGGTTTCATGTAAACGAACATCGCCCCAAACAAAGGAGGTCAGGACAGAAGAGTGAGCAATGAAGGTTTGATTCCAGCATTCCTCTCAGAAAGGGAGACATCTGTGCACCACCTGTGGAAGACAGCGGGGACCAGCAAAAGACCACCAGGGCTGGTGCTGGAGAGATAGCACAGCGGGTAGGGCGTTTGCCTTGCACGTGGCCAACCCGGGTTCGATTCCCAGCATCCCATAGGGTCCCCTGAGCACCACCAGGAGTCATTCCTGAGTGCACGAGCCAGGAATAACCCTTGTGCATCGCCGGGTGTGACCCAAAAAAGCAAAAAAAAAAAAAAAAAAAGACTTCAGGGCTGTTCCTGAGGGCAGGACAGAAGCAAAAGAGCCAATTATGGGGCAGATAAGACACCCCTGAGACGCCCTCTCTCACACAGGTGCACACAGGTGCGCACACACACACACACACGCATCACACACAGAGCCTTCTTTTTTTCCTTCCAGTTTGGCCCCTAGGCCAAATCTAGTGCGTGAGTGACAACTCCTAGTACCTTCTCTTCAGTCAGGAAGGCCTCCCAGAAGGCCTCGCACCGGCACGAGGAAGAAGGGGCTGCCCGTTCCCCTGAGTCGCTGCCGCGTCCCCCCGCAAGTGGGCCCGGGCGATGCCCATTTCTCATCTGCCTTCGGTTCTCCTGGTTTCCAGAGTGAACGTGCTGGAAGGGTAGAGCAGTAACCTTCATGCTCACCGAGTGCTCAGTAAACAAAACCCAGGGGGAACCGGGGAAAAACTCTTGCCAACTTTGAGTAGGAAAGTTTTAACATCTCTCCAGTCATCAAGGTCAGAGCCTTGGCTTGGTGCCCCAGCACTGCCACCAGGGGGCTTGTCCTCCCAGCTCGGAGGTAGGCAAATAAATCTCCCTCAGCTCCCAACCCTCAGCACCACTGGGTGCGGCCCCAAAACCTAAAAACAAACAAACCAAAAAAAAAAAAAACCCACAAAAACCCTTTCCCCAAATCTTTAAAATCCACCTCCCCCGAGTCCTTACTTGTGAGTCGACCACAAATGTCCCCCAACCACAAAGTCTTAGAGTTGATTTCTTCGGCGTTTTCCATTCAGCTGAATCAATGTGTTAATTCTATGAGCGATACGGGTCATGATTTTTTGAGCTTTTAAAGCAGTGGACGACATTTTTTTTTAAATCTGAAAATGAATTATTTTTACTACAGCAGACTATATTTGTGGCAGAATGTGACATCTCCCAAAGAATTGCATAGGTTTTTAGATTTTAAACAGCTGTAAGAAAGATGATTCTTTAGGACACTGTAGGTAGTGGTTTATCAACTGTTGGAGCCTGCTGCCAT